ATATTAGCTTCATCAATGTGGACTCTCTGAAAGGAACACGCAGTAGCAAAATCATAACAAAACGCCTAGAAGCTGACAAGAATCAGAGTCAAGTTAAATTTTTTCTGGATTACAGATTGCATGATAAATCGTGTATGAAGAATGCAGGTACATTTTGAACATATCTAGGTCAAACGGTATTCGTTGACATTTCTGAAATTTGGGCATCAGACGATAACAAATCAAAACAAATATCCAAATATAAAAAAGTTAGAAGCTATAGTATCAAATCATTATTCATGAGTAAACCACCAATAAGCTAAGTAGTTTGCGTGGTTCGCTGCAGGGAACTTTCACCTCAGTACTTATGAACACTCAATGCACGTGCAAAATAGATCGTTCTTGCTACCCCTCAAATAGTGTCACTTTAAAGCTTAAGCCACCAAATTTTTGGATTCCTCTTATCCCCTAATGCGCTTTATCCCGTACCCTGCACCACATTAAGATCTAAAAGTTTCGACAGAAGTATAACAATGAAGAGGTCAGAGTGGAAAAGGGTCAAAACATGGACCACAATTGGAAACAAAATTCTAGTAATATACAGCTTATTATACCATAGTAAACTTAAAATTGTCTCAGAAGCTTCTCAGTTAGCCCCTGAGGTGTTTGTAGGAACTCCAGGTAGGGTACAGAGGCCGCAAAGAGGTTTCGTTCTCTTATAAATATTAGTTTTAGCAACAGTCAGAATGGTCTTGCAATTCGTTACATCATTGAGGAAGTCTCCAGTATCATCTAGTTCTGACCATAGAAATTAAGAGAGGTTGAGCTAGATGTCAGAGTCTTCGTTATTTCAAGCTAATCTGAATACTGGCCTTACTGGACAAACTGGACTGAAATAATTTCAACAATAAATAACAGAAACATAACAATCAAGTTGTTTACACGGTTCGTAATCGACCAAACTTTTTCTGTAAATAATTAAGTAGTTTCGTATCGCCGTATTGAGTCCTCACACGACGTAAAACAGGTACTACTTCCGGTTTAGACTTAGAGAGTGCGCGGAAGTAAGCTTGTATTAAACTAGATTGACTTCCGGTAGAAGGCGTGGGAGGTCGAGGGTAAGATTGGATTGAGGGCATGGATGAAATTAAGCCGGTTTCCTGTGCCACAGTATTAGGATCCTTGTATCGTGCTTGGTTTGGCAGAACGTTTACTGGGTGTAGTTTCTGGCTCGTGGAAGCAAATCGAACCGTAGGAACAACACTCTTCTGTCTGGGTACCTAGAAATATAAGAAAAAATATCTTTCAAATCCGAATGGATTAGCTTTCATTCGGCAGTTTCCAAATCTATTGTAGAGCGGTATCGGAACCTTCACGGTAGACCTCTTGATTAGTTTGATTTTCTGAAAAAAGCACCGATAAACTCGACAGCAGGGTGGTTTCTGGAACATCGAATGCCACATATGCTTATACAAATCTACAGGAAATGGTTGTCTAGAGCTCCTCGACATATTACAAGAGAAAACAACCCTCACCCATATTTTACAAAAGTAAAATATGCAGCACCAAAACCGCAATAGTGCGATATAGAATATAGAAATCGATGGTAAAAAAGTAGAAGAATAACTATTTCAACTTACCAAAACGGATACGGACTTGGCAGCTGTTAGTGCTTGCGATTTAGTCTTGGCTTTGGTTTGAGTGTTCACTCTTGCTTTCTGTAGTGCTGCCCAATGAACAGTCTGGGCTCTGTTGGACTGAGTGCTTTGAGCACGCGGAGGTGCTTTTCTTAATATAGAAACCACTGGTCTTCCTTGAGCTGACGGCTGGATCAGGATGTTTCTGTTCTTAGTTGATGTTCCTTGACGGTTTGTTGTGGCGCGCTGGGGTTGCTGATTGCCTGGTTGATTCGGTGCTGTGGAAGTAGAAGGGAGTGATTGGGATTGAAGACGAAGTGGCTGTGGAACTAAAGGATTAGTTTGTTGTTGTGATGCTCTGTTAGCTGCTTGTTGTTTACTTTGAAGTTGAATTACACGATTTGATACCAGTTTAATCATTTGCGGTTTCGTTAATTTGTCGAAGTTGGCTTGGGTTCTCATTTGAGCCAGTACTTGTTGGATTAGCTGGGCTTGAGTTGGCTGCTGTTGGGTTGTTTGTTTAGTTATTGACTGTTTGGAAACTTTGTTAGCCGCTGTTTGTGCAATTTGTTGGGCGGCTTGGTTTGCAGCTTGTTGGGCAATTTGCGGTTGGGCAGCTTGGTTTGCAGCTTGTTGGACAATCTGCTGTTGGGCAGCTTGGTTTGCAACTTGCTGAGCAATTTGCTGCTGGGCAGCTTGGTTTACAGCTTGTTGGGCAATTTGCTGTTGGGCAGCTTGGTTTGCAGCTTGTGGGGCAATTTGCTGTTGGGCGGCTTGGTTTACAGCTTGTTGGGCAATTTGCTGTTGGGCGGCTTGGTTTACAGCTTGTTGGGCAATTTGCTGTTGGGCGGCTTGATTTGCAACTTGTTGAGCAATTTGCTGTTGGGCGGCTTTGTTTGCAGCTTGTTGGGTAATTTGCTGTTGGGCAGCTTGCTGAGCAATTTGCTGTTGGGCGGCTTGGTTTGCAGCTTGTTGGGCAATTTGCTGTTGGGAAGCTTGGTTTACAGCTTGCTGGTTTGCAAGAATTTGCGCAAGTTGTTGTCGGATGGCCGGATTAGTCAATTGTGGAGAAGATTGCTGTTGATTAGGTGCTCGTTGGATTTTTTGCTGTTGGGCAGCTTGCGTGTTTACAGCCGGTACACCAGTCTGAGTTTGAGCAACCGGGCTAGCAGCTCGTTGCTGTTGAATCAACTGCTGTTGTTGATCTAACAACTTTTGACGAGCGGCCTGTTTTGTAGCTTGTTGTCGTAGTATTTCTTGCTGTCTCGCAAGTTGTACGGCTTTCAGTTCCAAATGCTGTTGGACGTTCGCCTGTTGTGTGGTTTTAATAGCGGCTTGTTGTTCCAAGAGAAGCTGTTGGACTAGGTTTTGTTGAACGGCCTGGTTAATCGCTTGCTGGTTCAATAGCTGCGGTCGATCGACAAGTTGTTGGGCAGCATGCAGCTTCTGTTGTTCTGTAAGTTGGAAGGAAGCTTGTTGTGCGGCTGTTTGAACTGCTGCTGGTTGTTCTAAACTTAGTTGTTGGGCTAGTTGATGCTGAGCGGCATGGTTAACGGCTTGTTGGTCCAGTTGCTGCGGTCGATCCACAAGTTGTTGAGCAGCCTGTAATTTCTGTTGTTCTGTAAGTTGTAAGGCCGATTGTTGCGCGGCTGTTGTAACGGCTTGTTGTTCCAATTTAAGCTGTTGTGCTATCAGTTGCTGAGCGGCCTGGTTAACGGCTTGTTGGTCTAGTATCTGTGGCCGATCTACAAGTTCATGTGCAGCCTGTTGTATAGTTTGTTGTTCCAGTAGCTGCTGATCTGTAAGTTGGGCAGCTGCTTGCTGTGCAGCTTGTTTAATGGATTGTTGTTCCAAAAGTAGCTGTTGGGTTAGTTTTTGTTTAACGGCCTGGTTAACGGCCTGTTGGTCTGTAAGTTGTTGTGCGGTCTGTTGAGCGGCTCTTTGCTCTAAAAGTTGTTGTTCTGCCAGTTGGATGACCTCTTGTTGGGCTCCTGCTGTCGTTGTCTGTTGTTCCAAACGTAACTGTTGGACTAGTTGATGTTGAACGGCTTGGTCAACAGCTTGTTGTGCTTGAGAGGGATCGATATGTCCAATATGTGACTTATCTATCGCAGCTCTCAGAGGCTCCATCGGCAATGCTATGGGGACATATTGCTCATCTGGAGAAAGTTGTGGATTGACAGCTTTCCTGGCAGACTGTGCCATAAGCTGAGCAATCTGGGCCTGGGCAGCTTTGGTGGCGGCTTCAATAACTGATTGGGTAAACTCTGGTGATTGTTGAGATCCCATGGCTAGCTGTTGTTGGGCAGCCTCTATCGCTGCCTGACGAGCTTCTTGAGCAATCCTTTGGGATATTTGTGATGGATTTGACGATTGTGAAGCCGTTGATTGTAAAAGTGGATCGGGGACGATTTGAGTTGACAAATCGACTGGATTAACTACTTGTATCATCGGGCCCTGTGCAGATGCACTGGGTTCCTGTGTAGCAATGATTGAGTCCAAACTCGCATTAGCATCATTTAGTTTGATTGGTTGCGCCCGACCAAGTTCGGGTACTAACTTGTTTGTCCCTTGGTCTGTCCCTATTTGGGTCGGAACCTTAGCAGACTGTATCGCTGATGGATTTGGTCGAGATTGCGACGGGAAATTTTGTACAACTGCTTTCAACTTCGAATTAATAGGTTGAGTGGTTGATGACGATGTTGAGGTTGCTGACGATTTTGTTGATGTTGTAGGTGCCAAAGTCGGAGATGTAGGCGGTAAAATTGTCGGAGTCGTCAATAAGGTAGTTGTCTGCGGTGTAGTAGACGTTGGTGTTTTGGTTGAGGTTGTAATAGGTAGTAAAGTAGGAGTGACGGAAGTCGCAGTTGCAATTGCTGGAGTTGCTATAGCCGCGGTGGCCGTAATGACGGGGTGTAGCTGTTTTAAATGGGTGGTTGTCTGAGGAACAGTTGTTGTGGAGAGTTTCTGTGATGCTGGTGGGGGTCGAGATGCAGGCTGGTTCAACTGTTCCACTAACCTGGAGGTGTTCACTACAATCAATTCTGCTGGTTTTGACACATTGCCTGGAACGTCCACGACTGTAATTACAGAACCGTTGGTACTGCGGAAACTAGAGATGGTAGGAATAGTCGTGACCCGAGGTTCGGCTACATTAAGGGCAACTTGTTGTGGGGGTAGAGGTAAAGATGTAAACTGATTGACCCCTTGTTTAATTCTCGCTGTAGCAGCCGAAGTAGATTTGACCTGACTTTTGTTTGGATGAAACTGAGAAATAAATTCTCGGGGCTGAGAAGTGACTTGGATAACTGGAACTGCTTGTTGGAATACTGTTGGTATACTAACCATCCCGGGATGAGCCAAATAAATGGGGTTGGCGTATCGTTTGATGTTGGTGTTGATGATTCTACCAAACATTGGTTGAAGAGGCCGGAAGTTGTCGATGAGAGCTTCACCAAAAATGACAGCGTTGGGCGCTTCTAGAACGTTCTTAGTAGTCTCATACAGAGATCGTAGGGATTCCAACTGAAATTCAAAATAATATTGCTTATTACCTCAAATGAATCCAGAATCAAGAGTGTTTGGTTGTCAAGGACTGTCCTTTTCTAAAATTTGTGAAACTTGACGGAAGAATCCTTTTAGAATGCTTGATGTTACGAAGCAAAGAAGCTTTATGTCCCTTGTGGAGTTAATGAAACAAATACCCTCGGGTCATCGGCAATACACACCTACATGCTGTGTTGTTATCCCTTTTTTAATCAATAAAGATTCTGTCGCTATCGCGGAATGGCCAACGTTCCAGAACACCAAAAATGATCCCTTACCTGATTGGGAGAGATAGTCTGCCTCTGTTCAAATATAGTCCATAGTACACTCTGGTAACACGGTGGGGTCGTCAGGCTTCCATAATACCGGAAGTAGTTCCCAGCATTAACGGGAAGTAGCTGACGAACGTTAATAGTAGGCAGTGGTGCTGAGGTTCCTGAAACAAATACAATATCTTCTTTAAAACCATACTTCGCAGATGAAAAAGATTCAAAGTTTTGTTCAAATGCTTTGAACAGAAGGTCAAAGTGTCATGTACATGGCTTTTCGAAAGCATTATATGTGTAGTGTGATCTCAGATAGATGAATTATTCTCCTGATACCAACAACTACAACAACTACCTAATCTGCAATATCTGCTTGATCTGAAAGCGAACGTTACCGACCCAACAAATACAATATATTCTTTAAAACCATACTTGGCAGTTGAAAGAGATTCAAATTTTGTTCAAATGGTTTAAACAGAAGGTCAAGGTGTCATGGCTTTTTGAAAACTTGACCCAACTTGAATGCTGTGTGGTATCCTACAGCTAAATTATCAATTTCTATACGAATGTTTCTTACCTGGATTTTGCACCTTCTTCAATTGCCTTTCAATATCCGCGAAGGCCGGATTCTCTTCCTGAAAGGAAGAAAATAAATTTGAATTTGCAGTTCGTTGAACAGGTTCACATAGGTGATAAGTTTATTGCGATATTACTATCTCCGCCAACTTGCTAAGGTCTCCGGTCTGTGATACCAAATGGTTATACTTTAAACAGAAGTAATATAGAAGTATTTTATATGACTGATACATCTTTAGTCGAGGTACTGGAATGAAATGGATGGAGTTTTACGTCCTGAATTTCTGCTCGAGTAATTGAAATTTTGGCTGTTCATCTGGCTGAAGAATATATCAAGGATCAGCTGATAGGAAGGATCCTCTGTGAAACTAAATTATTATCCTTATAGTTCTTTCTTTCACTACTTACCCCAATATCAAATAAAACTCCTAGAACACCCAAACCATCTCGATACTGCATGGCGTTTTTTAAATCTCCATATTTGGTAGCATAGTTTACTATATGCATCTACAATAGGTAAACAGTAGTTAGAAGACACCTGACAGAGTCATTTTGTTATTCTTAAATACAATACGTATGGTTCATGACAGCTAATTGATCCATTTCATGTCTACCTCATTGATTTTTTGACTTAAAAGGGGATTGCGATTCGAGCAGATAGACAAACGTTTTCTGCATCACGGGTGTATACGCCTACGTCTCTCAAAATGCCCCTACATCTTGCTGTACGTTACTTTCTCACGCCAAAGAATGTTTTCTACTTTACACCATAAGTGTATGCAAAAAGCATTGCCATGGATATTAACACGTTTTGAAACGTCTCCAGTTACCAAAAGAGGATCAAACACAACTGGAAATCCCTCTCATTCTCACCCAGAGTTTCCCATCTCAACAGACCAGTAAAGGTACTCACCTCCAATGGATATTTCCGTCCGTTGATGGCATGTTCTGAGCCGTCCCTATCGTTGCTACCCCAGTGAAAATGGATCTCGGCTGTGTTGTAAACATCACCAAACCCTCCCCCACTCACACTCATGTTACCGCTGACCCGAATACTGGCTGCAAAAAAAAATACATTTTTTATTATTGACCATGTCCAGTGGAACCCCAATTGTACCCCACTTCATTCCCAAGACATTTAAAAATATGATATTTTTTACGTTTTTGAGATGAATTTTTAGCATTTAGAGGGCTCAATTTCCACTTCAACATAAGATCTTTCACAGGCTTGAGAGGGTGGGGTGGCATGGCCCAATGGGTCACCCCCTAAATACGTTACTGTTGCTCAAATATCTTCATGACACAAATCAAGGACAGATTGGTAGAAAGCGAAAGTAAATTTTAAGTTATACAATTTCTCAATAATGAAATTTTTACATTGACAAGGTGATCTATTTCAATTTAGCAATAAAATAAAAAGAATATAAAAATTTGTTAATAAGATATGAATGACCTATTGTTTTAACATAAAAACACAATATGGTAATTACTCCTAGTCTAACTATGTCAGGTCATTATCCACTTAATATTGTTAGCTTTAAAAAGGGTGTGAACGCCAGCTATTCCTGGATAGGGAACATATGATAGCCTTTTTCAAAAGTTAGACTGATTAAGTCGAAATGACTGTGAACTACATTCGCGTGTGTTATTTCCGTTTAAGAACCATACGCAGTTTCGTATGATAGGGTAGATCCAAATTTATTTCTTAAAAGTACCAGGCATGAGTCATATAAAGACCTTTGTGCTTCATCATTGTTTACTATGTATTTCCGAACTTTTATTTTAAATTACGAGTTTTATTTTGAGGTTTGGATCATTAGTACTTGGGGTTTTTTTTATCAGTAGATCAGCAAATACTATGCATGGCGTAAAGGAACAAATTCACGTCATTCAGGACTAACTACGTTGTTCTTTGAAATTGTTGATTTTAACAAAGCGTTTGATTAAGTCTTATGGTGTGATGGAGCTGTAATTTAGTATCTAGAAGAGACAGAAACACAACAGCTCTCCAAAGTCCACATCCTCTTCTGATATTATAAATTTTTCTACCCACACTAATCATGCACTGACTTATTCCTGCAATCTGATAGATCACTGTTATTATCATCATATTATATTATAGAAAACTACAGTTCCTTCACATTATTAAATTATACAATCAACAGCCTTTATAAAGTCACTAAATTCAAATACAGTAATCAGTTGTCGATAACCTGGACGTGAGAATTAACGTCACAGAATATTGAAATTGTGTCCGTTTTGAGAGTCCACATATCTACTCAGACTCACCTGTATGACCGTTGTTTTTAACAGTAAAAGCTGTGTTAAAACCATTGAATCCAGTAAATGAAAACTGTTTGAGGTTCGGTGTATAGATGATGTTTCTATCGTCTATATCTACTGGGGATTGTCTGTTACCGGAACAATAGCTGTATTTACCCGGCCATTTTAAATGTCCTGAAATAATGCATGTATATCGGTCATCTTTAATAATATTGCCAGATGTGATCGACTAGAAAAGTATGGGGAAAGATAATTTTTTTGAGATAATGATGGTAAATATGGTATGATTCACGTTACCACCCCTTACCCAATGGAACACAATAGAAATCCAATCCAATCCTACTATTTATTCTCCCATCATTACAAGCAACATTCGACTTTAATTTTTCGATTTTGGCTAGAACTAGCTTCATAATGGATATTGTTTAAACTGTAAAGTATCTATTATCGTAAGCACTGGCGTTTGATTTTTTTTTTACCGTTAGGTAATGCACCTGCTCCCCCAGCAGACATAAACTCGCTACCACAAAGTCCTGTAGGCCAACCTCTATTGTACCCGAGAGCGTTTTCTTCCCGAGAGTGTTTTCATATAGGTGTAAAAAAGCTAAATACTCACCACTGTTTTTGTAACTCCATTTTTTACCAGGTACTCTCTGTCCATTCTCACCTAAAACAAAAGGTAATTACAATATAAATTGTTCCGAACACTGTAGCGAATATAAGATTTGAACGACATATAGAAGCGAGGAGCACATATAACAAAACACATAATGTTTCAACACACGTGTATATTGTGTTGAAACGTTATGTGCCCAATCTCATCAAAGAAGTGTGTTATATTCCATAATATTGTCTTATGTTTTGTTATTTGATTCAGCGAACTAACACAATAACTGATGGAATGTCAAGGAAACGCCGTGCTCGGTTATTTATCGAATAGCCTGATACGATAACAACGTTTCGATGAAATTACACCGTTAAAACTAAAAGTTATAGAAGACAAAGCCTTGACTTCCGTTTACCTCCCAGATACCCTTACAACGTTTCGATGAAATTACACTGTAGCATTAAATCCAAAAGTTTTCTTTCCAAAATTTCTGTTTACCTGGTATGAACATGAAAACAACCAATATGGCGAAGATTGGACCATTCAGTAGGGCCATTTTATTCCGAAGCACCGGTTAAACTAAGAGTTACAGAGAAGGAACCCCTAATTTCCGTCACCCTCCCACTCAGACGACTGCAAAAACACTCGCTCGTCCATCAAGTATAGTCACAACATCGTAACAATCAACCAATCGCATGCATAAGATATAAAGGTTAAAGGTGATTAACGCTGTCACAGGTCAAAGAATTTGCATACTGTGATCTGATTGGTTATTTGAATAGTACATACAGAATTATAATTGGATAATTGAAAATTTGTAGTAACAATTCACCATTGTCAGCCTAAACCTTTGTGATCATTAAGATTATGATAAATTATGTCCCCTTAGGACACTCGTTAGAAAATGGGTGCTATTTTTGCATTATTAAGTGAAATAAACTGAATTGATAGATCGAAACAATTAATTTCAATAGTTTTTTTTAGACGTTGGTGAACACTAAAGGCAGGTATTCCTTTAATCTGGGCTATTTTCATGCGGTATAATAGATTGGGTTAAAATCAAGACAGACATATCAATAGTGACCATTGTGAATGATTCTATGATTTCTATATAGACACTTCAGTCTGCGATATGAGATAATTCGGACTTAAACTTATCATTTACCAACCATACAACAAAGGTCTCCCAAACTAGGCGAGTAAGTAACTGATACAACAAAAGTCTCCCAAACTAGGCGAGTAAGTAACTGTTACTATCTTAGGGACTTAGCGATAGTGACGTCATGAAATACTAAATTTGAGTGGAATTGCAAGAACCATAAACGTCTGACTGAAAATTGGAATTGATACTTTGATGTTATCGGTCTTCACGATACACATACAAGATAAGACAACCTCTTTACAATCACTTTATACGACTGTATATCTTTAGTTAAAGAAAGGTTTTTGGGCGAGGTCTTAGTTAAGTAATCTTTAATTTTCTATTAAAAGTAAGGAAACATTGTCATAAAAACTTGATGAACAGTTTACGAGTTGGTTGTCATTTTGATGTTTTAATAATTATTATTTCGATGTTGATTAATAAATAGTACACTGTATTTACCAGATATATCAATTTTTCCTACGCAAAATTTTAAAAATTATAATGCAGTAAATGTCAATGTTATCTTCCATCATTAGTCCAGTCGATCCATCTGTAAATGGGTATTGTTGAAAAGTTAAGCCAAGGACCTGCTTGTAGACATAATCCCCGTGACCCTGAGATATCCCTTTTAAATCACAATCAAGAGGTTTGACCAATGATCAGCTGGTAATTAGGATTCTCGTAAACCTAAGCTATTATCCGTGTAAAATCAATGTCAATAGGTCTGGTTAAGGACAAGCTGGTGGACGGGATCCTCTTGTTGCCCTTAGATATCCTTGTAAAATCACCAGCTTGTGAAAAGGTTCCTCTAGTTGAAGAATTGATTGTTTCTGTCCTTCTTCAATGGCACATGTGACATTACATGGTGTACTGATACAAGCCAGTGATCCTGGGTGAGAGGTTAGTAAGTTAAAGAGACAATTTATGATCTGATATATGACTAGAAGGTGTTAAACCAGAAATAGATAATGATTAGTCATAGTAATTCTGACATCCATGATGCTGTATAAGTTTTATATTATGGCCAAAATTTTACTTTTTATAACATTTTACAAATTCGGGTATATCTACAATAAGATAGAGTTTCTCATTGCAGCGCGGAAAAAACATGATATGCTGAACAACGGCTATCACTTGGTACAGTAAGGTTATTTGGTATTTAGATTCATCAACTCTGTATGTCTTTCAATAAGCCCACATAGCTAATATTGCTTATTTAGTTTAAGTTTGTAATTCAACACCGACCCAAAATGTTTTTGGGTTTTCCTGTCTGTTTTCTTGAACACAGATAGACCGTTGACTCTAAGGTCCCCTTAGGCCATTGTTTAACCTACAAGTAGGACATATACGTTCAGGTCCGACAACGTTATTGAGTTAAAGTTCAGCTAAAGTACCTTCATAGGGAATGAATACTCAAAACCGTTGTGCTGTTGTGTTTGTCAATTTCCTCTGATGAATAAAATTATTAAAGAATACTTACTTGGTGCTGGTAATCCCTCTAGAAATGGTGGTAAAACAGGAAACTGGGGTGCTGAAAAGTGAAATAAAGATATAAAAAATGAACTGAAATGGAGTTTTACGTTCTACTATTCTGTAACTGATTGAGATATCAAGAGCACATACAACTTTTCGGGTTAAACATTATTCAAAAAAAAAATAAACCAAGCACTAACCGCAAAACGAAACCCGAAATCCTAAAACATGTTGACGAAACATTGGTAGCAGCTAATGAACTCTGGCGTGAAGAAGTATATCAATCATAAGTCAGTAAGTATTTCATAATGAAAAGTGGTACCAGGTGTCTAGAAGATTAAGCATACCCTGGCGCCACACCCGTCGCAGCTGCTAAACATATCCAACACACAAAACAGCACAAATATACCCAGGAATGTAAACCTACTTTTATCAATTTCCTATTTTTAAAAAAAACCTGAACTGACCTGGATGTCTGTTTAAAAATGGCGGCGGTGGAGGCATGGCGAACGGATTCTCTACAAAATAAAAAAAAGCATGAACATTTTATATATATTTTCTTTGCCTTCATGGACTTGATCATTGGTATGGTCTGAATGATGCTGTCATAATGAACTGATATCTTCTGAATTGGATTAAAGAAACAATTTGGTCAGATCATGGTTGGCAAGTTCAGTAGCACCCCCCCCCCCCCCTCCCAAAAAAAAAGCCCTCACCCAAATCACACGAAACGCAACATCCATTTGTAATGACATTTTCCTCAGATTGCATGAAACCAAAGTTCATTCGAAAATAGAATGAGAAAAGAAAACCATCTTACCATTATTCATGTATTCCATGATGCCAGGAAAATCACCCGGTTCTGAAAAACAAAAGGGTGGAACTTCTGTTAGAAACTGGCCACCAGTTTGTATTAACCAGTAAAATTATCTTTTGGATCTAACCGGAAGTTAATAATTGCAGGATTATTGAATTTGAAGGAATGTTTACAAAGCATATCAATTGAACCGAAATTGATATGCAGGAAAAACCGAAACATTTGGTTTAGATGAAAACAACACTTATCAAAGCATAGGAAATAACGTATGTAATCACTCGCAATCGTCAACAACTGGAGAAAATTAACAATCACATTTTCGGAACATTTAAGAAACTTTCCCCAACCAAAGTTAAAATACAACACATAGAAAGAGAAGGAAGGAAGGAATTGGGGTATGATCGATTGAGAATGAGAGTCCTAGGTGTCAGGACACCCAAATTGTCAGAAAGCCGGCCAATATCCCCGTCATTAACATATCTAATTCTCTCATTCTAATTGCTGTTCTGTGTATTCATGATCAGATATTGATCAAACTGTCGATTTCCGACGATTCCACAAAAAGAGTTTGAAGGTGAAATTCATCGACGAGTATATTCTTCTGCTTGTGTTAAGACATCGCCCAGTCCTTTTTTAAGGGGCGTGGTTTAAACGACGGTCAATGGTTATATTTGCAAATTACTCTTGACCCTGAAGGACTATACCCTATGGGAAGTATGTTTGATATAGAAGGATTTGAGTAAAGGGGGCAAAGTGGAACAGAAGGGTGGGTGTCTTTCTATCTGGAAGGAAGGGATGGGAAGAATATTATTTGGGATATCAAACACCGTCACAAAATTCAAAAAAGGATACCAAACACCGAAGCCCAGTTTACCGTTCCCAGTGTTTTAGTACTTGGTGCTCGTTTTGAAAAAAGGGTTCAAAATGTGGGTTTTTTCCAATTTTCAGGTTCTATTTATGTTTTGCCTTTACCAAGATTAGCCACGCCCAAGGATTCAAAATGAACGAGAAAAGGGATAAGAAGTAAGGAAGGGGTAAGAAGTAAGGGACAAGACAGGGTTTAAGAAAAGGGTTACTCACGACTTTTCACTAACCTGCAGCCTGGGCCATTGGTTCATTACCACCAGGCTGAACTTCCGGTCGCTCACCAGCATAGGGAATGGGTAACAAAAAAGGGTCATGCGGAAAAGGAGGCATAAAGTTGAAGGGCGAGAAACCTTGATTGGGATCTCCATTCTGAAACTGCTGAGCATCAATTGAGGAAGGTTTGTATTGGAAGGGGTGTTGTGGGAAGAGTTGTGGGAAACTCGACCCTCTCCCCAGAGGGAATGGCTGTTCCGGAAAGGGCCTAGAGAACATCTCGGCCTGGGATCGTGGCTGTGGACCTTGGAATTGATTAGTCTGTTGCGAAAAGGGTTGGGGTTGGAATAGAGCTCCGTCAGTAGGGGATTGTAGACCCGAAAAGGGCCCCACAGAAATATCAACAGGATGCTGAGGATGAGATCCTTGGGGTGGTATTGACTGGTGGCTTCCGACGGCAGTTTCAGATGGTAAGGGCTCAATTATAGGTTGAGATCGGGTCTCTTTTGCTGCGACTGCAGAGCCGTGTGAAGGTTTCGATAGGGTACCTTTACCCCCAGGCTTATAGGACTGCTGTGGGTTAGGTTGTGGTATGAATGACATGCCCTTTGGGTGGTAGTATTGCTGCTGTTTTAAGTGCTGGGGTATGGGGGTTATAAGAGGTGGAGACTGTGACATTGCAGAGTTCGAGAATGGGTGCATGTCTGGGAAGACATTTTCTGGAAAATTTGAATTAAAACTAAAGAATGGGTCAGGGATTGGTGTTGATTCAGAGGTCTGGGTGTTCAGTGGCATGTCCCCAACCACACCTGCGGACGGAACCCAATTGGTTTCGGGATGGATAGTTGATGCAGGGTGGGTGGAAAAAGGGTAATCAAGAGGTAAAAAAGAAGGATTTGGAAGCAACGTGCCTGGTACCATGGGATTCTGGTCTGGTGTCATGACCGGAAGGATAGCAGGATGATCAGCCGCAGGTAAAAATGCCGCTCTTGGATCCATTGGAGGCATCATTGGCATCATGTTTGAGGGCTGCTCCGGATACATCTGCTGGTTGGGCAGTGGTCCAGAGTACATCTGCGGACTGGATGGTGGTCCGGGGTACATCTGCGGGTCGGGTTGCTGTCCCGGATACATCTGTTGGCTGGGCGGTGGTCCAGGGTACATCTGCGGGTCGGATGGTTGTCCCGAGTGCATCTGTGGACTAGATGGTAACTGTTGGGACATCATCTCAGCAGCTACAGGTGGTGGTACCATTGGAAACATGTCTGGATCAGCAGGGTTAAACATCTGTGGCATTGGGAACATCATATTGGACTGACCAGATGGGCGCGACATAGGGTGTGTTCCGAACGGCCCATAGTCTAAAGCCCCGTGTGGGGACATAAAGTTAGGATGAAACTGCTTTGGTAACTCAGTGTTTGTTTCTGAAGCCTCAGTTGGTGGTGCTGTTGTCGTCGGTTCCGATTTATCTGAAAGATATAATATTTTATAAGCATCAGCAGGGAAAGTATTTTTTTAAATAATAAAAATTTTTTAGAGGTGGAAGGCGGGGGGAGGTCATTACTGTGTAAAAAAGGAAGCAGGATATCCCTATCTGATACCCTCTGCGGTTTGGTTTAACATCTCTTTTGGTACGTAGGTTTGTCAGCTCACGGGGGGTGGGGTGGTGGTATGTAATTATATAAAAGGTTAATACAAACCATGTTTAATGAGTTGTGAGTTGGTATTTAAAAAGGAATATTGTAGTAAGATTAACCAATAAACCCCTTTCATTCTGAAAATAAACCAAAATACCAAGATAACGAGACAGTCTGTTAAAAAGGGGTGGGGTAGGGGTGGGCAACAGAGCTTCCGGTGTCCAACTATTCATAGGTTTTTGTGAATATCGTGAGCTTATTTCGGGGGTCAAAGGTAATCAATGCCAGTAAGTTCATTTACATCTTTCAAAAACTGTCCGTTTTTCAAAATATGTAAATTTCAAATTTTATAAAATATAAAAAGAGCACATGATCAGCTCCAAACGAACTACCATAAATGTTCAGCTTTACGGAAACTATATCTGAACAACCCTCGAGCATGTTTATCTTATACATAGAAATGATGATGACAATGTAAATTGTTGAAACGTTGTGTACTTTCTAACCCAGGGGTAAAACTGTTAAAATGTAAATTTGCTGAAATGTTGCAAATAAAAATAAAACCTATAGTTGAATATAATATATAAAAATGTAATTTATTGCCGATGTAAATTGTTGAAACTTTGTATACAATAAAACCGATAGTAGAATACCAGAAAAATTGTTTTTTTATGTTATTTAATTCCGATGGAAATTGTTGAAACGTTATGTACAATTAAACATAGTAGTAGTATACCAAAGGCTATAGACCCGTGATGAAAACATAAGTTGTAGAAACTTTGTGTACTTTCGGAGTGATATCACATGGTAGAATACAATAATGCAAATTGTATGTTGTTTTATTGTCGATGTAAATTGTTGAAACGTTGTATTATGCTTAAAAAAGAAAAACTCACCTTCAATGTGGCAATCCAGTAATGTCCCTAGTTTAAAATGTGTGTTAGCGGTCGATTGAAGAGTTAAGGTCAACAACGGGTTAACACTAGGGGTGAGAGATGACAGTGATTGGGGAGGGACAGGTATTTCCAACAGGTAAAGAGTTTAATTCTCACAATTAATAATGAAGATTTAAACCCTGGTTATATAAGTACTAGACATTTCTTTATTTATATTTGTCATATAACTTATCAATTATACAGACGAATCTAAATCAATTTTATGTCCTTTTGTACCCTACTGTAATTTATAGGACTAATGACATGAAATAGAGTTTACATCCTACTGTTCTGTATCTTATTGGATTAATGAAATGAAATAGAGTTTTATGTCCTACTGTTCTGTATCTTATTAGACTAATGACATGAAATAGAGTTTTATATCCTACTGTTCTGTATCTTATTGGATTAATGAAGTATCTTATTGGACTAATGACATGAAATAGAGTTTTATATCCTACTGTTCTGTATCTTATTAGACTAATGACATGAAATAGAGTTTTATATCCTACTGTTCTGTATCTTATTGGACTAATGACATGAAATAGAGTTTTATATCCTACTGTTCTGTATCTTATTAGACTAATGACATGAAATAGAGTTTTATATCCTGCTGTTCTGTATCTTATTGGACTAATGACATGAAATAGAGTTTTATATCCTACTGTTCTGTATCTTATTGGACTAATGACATGAAATAGAGTTTTATATCCCACTGTTCTGTATCTTATTGGACTAATGAAATGAAATAGAGTTTTATATCCTACTGTTCTGTACCTTATTGGACTAATGAAATGAAATAGAGTTTTATATCCTACTGTTCTGTATCTTATTGGACTAATGAAATGAAATAGAGTTTTATATCCTACTGTTCTATATCTTATTGGACTAATGACATGAAATAGAGTTTTATATCCTACTGTTCTGTATATTATTAGACTAATGAAATTAAATGGAAAATCGCACAACCTACATAACAATATCTACTGAAATTTAAATTTTCTATGAAATGGGGTTATAAATCTATATTCTGCACATCATTTAAAAAAAAAACGGAAAAATATGACACAAAATCCTTTCTTTTTTCAAACATTTCCGGAAAATATAAAAAAGCTGACTTACCTTAATAAATACAGAATCTACTGATATCAAGCTTACCCATTCTCACTGAACGAACTGAGGCGTGATGTACGTAAAGTGTAACCGTTATGTCATGCGACATGTTCGGAGTTGTAAGAGAACAATCGTACATGACATCCCGTCTCCGATTCAAAGCCCGGGTTACATGAGAGTGGTTGTAGTCTGTCGAGAAAGGGTGTTAGAGATGATGTATATCTCATGATGTAACGCAGGTATAATCACCATTTTCTCGTTCTGCCGTTAACAGATGCGAATTTTTACAGGTTTATGGACGGAAACGACCTCATTTTACAACCCTTGTGACTAAGTCAAATAACCCAAACTCTCACCCCGAGCACCCGAGGGGACATATCCCTTTTTAATCTGTATATTCATTTAAATGTTAAACCTACATACCTAAACTAATATTCTTTTCGTGGTTTGTTAAGGACATACATGTATTTCAATTTTTGAGAAAATGATTTAAGTTTATTAATTTTTTTTTATTAATCTTGTTCTCTGAATTATCATTTTTGTTGCCTATTTTCTAATATTGTTTTCTATTTTACAGTTTTAGTTTCTGAATTGACATATTTTATTTTCTATTTTCTATGCTGGTTTTGTATGATTTCAATTCATTTAATCTAAACTTAGCACAGAGACAACTGCAATTGCGCGAATTTCATAAAATACTGAGTTTTTGTTTAGAATTTGAAATCAGTTTTAGAGTGAAAAAGAAAGAACACAGTTTGAGAAAGGACAATAATACTATAAACACGTTATATAATGTTTTAGTTAAAGTGATATAAATTATACGGCGATCAAATATTTCAAAACTAAAACTTTTTGGCTTTTGTTGAAGTTGATTTATGTGTGTGAAATGCGTCAATTGTAATCAATAACAAACAATTAATACGGTCAATGGTTTTAACAGTTAGGTCTGCGTTCAATTCAACGCTTTTAAAGGGACGGATGCGCCTTTTTTGACCAAGCGGACTCCGAAACGGCAATTTCTAAGCTAAACCAATCGGTAATAGTGTTCACATCTCACCATCGAATTTCTTGCCTTCAAATCCATTTTCAAAATGTAGAAAAGACATCTAAAGAAATAGGAAATAAATTCCGTAGTAGATTTATAAAAAAAATGCGATATACATACCACAAAGAAAAAAAAAAGAAATTAAAATTTAATCAGACTCGTGCTTCACTCGAAATCTCCACTCTTGAACGGGCCCCTACCCCTAAGTGAGCAGCTACCCCAGAACAAAATACAGGAGAGCATAATTATGTTAATAATAGGGGCCCCAACCGACTTTCGTCCAGTATATGCTGTCCATTACCTTCATGTTCTATAATTCAGCGTGTTTGGGATTTGAAATGTTAAAAAGTTCTTTGAGGGTTGCCTCCCTTCATCTAAGTCTGGACTCAGACCAGTAAAACTTTTTATATATATGACTATGGGAATGTAGTCAGTGTTATTTATAGAAATACCCTTTCTCCCTCCCTTCAGGGATTTTCATGCGGAAGGATAATTCTAAAAATAGTCGTTTTATGTGTGCAGTGAAAGTCAAGCGGATGTTGTAGTGATCTACTTTCAGTTTGGCTAGTTGAAGATTTTCATGGTAATGATATATTGAATTTTTTTCCAGAAACTAAGCATTGGCCAGGCTTTCATGTGACATATAGGAATGTTTTCAACGAGATTTCTGGAAAAAGTTATAGAAGGTTGAATTTCGTGATTTAACATGGAAACAGATGGCAAATGAATTACTGGTCTTAGTCCACATGTACGGACATACGTATAATTTTCATTTTTAAAAAAATTTCTTTTTTCAAAATTTTATATACGTGGGGAACTCTTCGGATACATACAGATTTTTACTTTTTTTAATTTTAAAAATAAAATTTCAATAATTTTGAATTGGTTTAAAATAAACTGAAGGATACACCATTACTCAATGATAGAATATAAAAATACAATCAGTAATAATTACATTAATCAGCAAACAACTGTTTACTGTTGCTTTTCATTTACTTATATCAAGGAGCTATTATTATTAACAACTTCAAAAACCAAAACATTTTGATATTTACAAAAACACAAGCTTAAACCCTAACATTAAAATATTTTTGTCAGTGACTAACATTTATTTACATTATATACAGTTATTTTTTTTACGTACTTTAAAAACATATAGACAGATAGTGTTAGTACTGTTAGTCAGAGAGGGTGCTGTGATTTAAAGCCTAACACTATATACATGACAATAAGAAGTTTTTATTACTGATTTAACCAAGCTTGTGCCTCGTCATAATGTACTTTTTCATATTAATTTTCATTACAACATAAACATATCTACAAATAAAATATAAAAAAAGGGGGAAGAATTTGACAAAACAAAAGAAAAACTCATCTACTATCTGTAGAATGAGTGAAAATAATAAGCAAAATAAAGAAAAGAAAATTTGGAATTGTACAGTATATTATGTACAATTTTGAAATTTTGAATTTTTTGGGGTTAATTTTGAATTTTTGAAATATTGTTTTTAGATTTATTAATATTAAATTTTTTGAAAGTTTTTTGCCAAATATTATGAGGTTTGAGTTAAAAGTAAAGTATTTATGAGTGGAAACAAGTTTACTTAATGCAATTCAGTTGAAAAATGAAAAAAGGGAAAATTCAAAATAACAAACAGAAATGGGTATATAATACAAGGTTAAACATAATTCTATTATCTGTGGATAATAATATACTTATAAACAAAGAATAGAATCCAATTAATAGAAAAAGGAAAGAAAATGAAACTATAGATATTAGAAAACACAAATCAAAAAGGAAACTAAGTGAGAAAAAACAGTATTAATCAATAATTATCTACAATCTGTTGATAAGAGAAACACACGCCAGAAATAGTTATCATTTTATATCCCGTAGTACAGTGTAAGCAATTTTACTCCAGAATGCCTTAAAAATATACAATCTAGCTCAATGGTCGTCGGCTGTATTCACCACCATTGTAGATACAAGTTGCGCCCCTTTACCAGAAAACTTCTTTTTGACTTCGAAGGAACACGTTGACTAAATTCATTCCATGACTGTAAAAGTATCAAGTTTCATTTCCTCCCAGTATGGAATGTTTACTTTTCAATTGAAATGATGACAGTGAACTAATTCACGTTTTTATACAACCATCAAACTCACTGATCATATCAGACAAACTTCTACCCTGTTTGTTTGTAGGACTGGATTACAGTTGTTACAGTCTTTTAGGAGTAGCTTCATAATATGGATGTGGTTTGAATTCAATTGATAAAGGTATTCTTCTCAATGAATCTCGAAGGTGGCTATTTTCAGATATAGTTCTACTACCCTCAAGAGGATCTCTAGATCTATTTGATCCACCACCCTCTCTAGATTTTGTTTCAGTAGGTGATGTAGGGCCACTTCTTTCTATGGATTGATATGGTGGTTTAATTAGTGTTGATCCCAGAATATCACTAACATTAGATAAAGCTCCCTCAAAATAAACTCGTCTCTCTATAGATACTGCTCTATTTTCCATTGACATAGGTCCACAACCATCTCTAGATTGATCTAGTGGTTTAGTTACATTTGTTATAGGTCCACAACCATCTCTAGATTGATCTAGTGGTTTAGTTACATTTGTTATAGGTCCACAACCATCTCTAGATTGATCTAGTGGTTTAGTTACATTTGTTATAGGTCCACAACCATCTCTAGATTGATCTAGTGGTTTAGTTACAGTTGTTATAGGTCCACAACCATCTCTAGATTGACCTAGTGGTTTAGTTACAGTTGATCCCAGAATATCACTAATATTACCTATACCACGCCCGTCTTTCCATGCCATATACGTCACTGGGGGAATATCAATCTTCGTGTTTTCACAGAGTTTCTGTAAATCTTGGAGTTTAATCAGTGAATATATAAGAGATAAAGAGTCCTCTGTTGTAGTAGGACAGGATGAATCTAATACAGTTTTGATATTTTCTCTTTGGTTCATAACTTTCTGTCGGATTTCTGTTAGTTTTGATTCATTCTGGTTAAAATTATCTCGAGTTTCATTTTGGTTTTTTTCACAATTTGTTTTCAATTCACCAATAATTTTCTCAGTTTTTTCTTCGATTTTGGTACAGACATCATCACAAAAAGATTTAAGTTTTTTAGATGTTTCTACCAATTCTGTATGGGTTTTTTCCAAGTCTTTGATTTTGTCTTTCATAATATGTCCAGAATTTACAAGTTTTTGGACTATCATTTCTCTTGTAGAATCACATTCTAAATCTAATGTTTTATGATTGTTATGATCTTTTAAAATACATTTAGAACACAATCCTAAATTACAAGATAGACAATAATATTCTACCTCCTTCTTACTGTGATTTGGACAAGGATGTTTTGGTTTAAGACTGTTTGTTTTTTCCGTCGAGGTTTGTAAACCGACATTTGTAATAAAATGGTTGACGCCAACTCGTGGAATTTCAACAACCTGTTTACAATATGGACATGGAAATGTCTCCTCTCTGCAATCGGTATATCTTACCAAACACTCGAGACAAAACGAATGTCCACAAGGAACGATTTTTGGAGTCTTGAAACTTCCTAAACAAATGGAACATTCAAGATTAGGACTTTTTGGTAAAGCAGTCGCCATAATAAATTCTTCAAAATCTTCCCTAGAAATATTGAAATATAGTTCTATATACCTTCCACAGACAAACAGAATGATTTCACTATGTTATGGTATATTATCTTTCTCTATTGAAATATAGTTCTATATACCTTTAACAGACAAACAGAATGATTTCACTATGTTATGGTATATTATCTTTCACTAGAAATATTGAAATATAGTTATATATACCTTCCACAGACAAACAGAATGATTTCACTATGTTATGGTATATTATCTTTCACTAGAAATATTGAAATATAGTTATATATACCTTCCACAGACAAACAGAATGATTTCACTATGTTATGGTATATTATCTTTCTCAAGAAATATTGAAATATAGTTCTATATACCTTTAACAGACAAACAGAATGATTTCACTATGTTATGGTATATTATCTTTCA